TGAGCAGCCAATGTACATCTTATTTTTTGATAATCAGAGTGCTATCTGTCTCACCAAGCACTCCACTTTTGATTCTAAGACCAAACATATAAATAGAAAGTATCATTGGATAAGAATGACCGTGGAAGAGAAATTATTTGAGGTTGAGAAGATACACACTGATGAAAATCCTTCGGATATGATGACAAAGGCGGTGGTTGCAGATAAACATGAATTTTGCAGAAAATTGGCAGGCATGAAGCCTGTCAATAGTTCCTCTACTTGAAGACACATTTGGCCCCTTGGCTGGAGGGGAAGTTTGTTTGGCTCAGTTGTCCAGCCAAAGGCCCAATGGCCTAATCCTATTCTCTTTTGGTTTCCATTCCTATTTGGAATTGGATTCGGTTTATTCCTATTTTGAGTGGGTTTTGGCTTTAAGAGAAAGCACCACTCATGATCTATAAATAGGACAACCTTGGAGAATTATTCTATGCTTATTGATACAAGTCTTTGAAAGACTTAAGCACATAAGAGTGGTTTAGAGAGAGCTTTCATCAAGAGAGAAGAGAGAAGAAAAGTATTTGTTTTGCTGCGGATTTTTATTCCGATCAGCCAACTTCAGATCACGTTTCCGATTCGTTAACCGTTGGATCGGGCTGAAATTTTGACTGAGTGTTCGTAACATCTTGGTCTTGGGTTTGAACGGTGGAGATCGGATTTGGAGGCTCATAGCATCTGATTTTGAGCCTCGAACAGCAACCTCGTTTTTGTGGATTATCCTCTTTCTTCAATTGATTAGTTGTTGATCTTGTTGCTATTATTGCTCCGTGTTTGGCCCTTGTTATGTAGCCAATTTGGAGAACTTTTGTAACCCTCTTATTGTTATAGTGGAGCTTTTTGGATCTTTGTGATCCCGTGGTTTTTGCCTTCGATTTGAAGGGTTTTCCACGTTAAAATTTGATGTTCTTTATCTTCTTTATTTTCGGGTTTGCCTCTTCCTCAACATAACAAAGTTGTCATATGATTATTATCTTATTTGAAATAGTATTGAGAGGTTTAAACAATTGACAATCGAACGGTAATTCATCTAGTTAATAAATTCATGAAGATTCGAAATATATCTTGCTTTGCGCGAGTCTCTTCGACAGAAAAATAAAAGTCTCCTCAATATAATTGTATTAAAGTGTATTACAAACACTATCTCCTTTTTATTAATACTTCTTTTTCTTTTTCTTTTTTCCTCTTTTCTTTCTTCTTTTCTTCTCTTTTTTTCCCTTTTTCTTTCTCCCATATCCGATTTCCTTCATGCCGATGCCTTCTCCATTTCCGTCACCAATTTCACGTGATTTTATTCCTAAAAATCAAACCTACACCACCAAAACCTTCCAAGCGAGAAGGCTCTGGTTCTTCTAAAAAGAAGGAGATAAAAATTGTCGGCGTAATTTTTTCGATGGTGTTAATTTGGTGAAGGTAGGATATGGTCATTCAGATTTTGAAGGTGTTGTTTGATAATAGGTGAATTTAACTATAATCACGCCTTAAATAACCACCTTCGTGTATAGTTTTGATGATAAAAGTGATAACAAAATGCTCTTATTAGTGTTTTTCATGATTTGCAGGTGATATATGATCAGGGAAGGCTAGGGAGTATTTTTGGAGTCAAAAAATGAAGAAAAAAGAGGCCAACTGTGAAATTCCCTAAGGAAACCACGCAAAACAGGCCTGAAGATTCAGAGGACTGGTTTACCGCGGTTCCACCGCGACCGCGGTAGAACCGCGGTGGAAGATAGCTGCGGATAACTTCAGATTCAGAGAAGGCATTTGGCCGCGGTTTGACCGCGACCGCGGCAGAACCGCGGCGGAAGCAGAAAACTTCAGGGACTAAAGTGTAAAACACGGGATTTTTAGACCTAAACCCTATTTTAAATACAAGACTTCGCCCAAGAGAGGCATGTATTGAATTTGAGAGTATCTTGGCAAGGAGAACAATTGTGAGAGATCACCCAAAACATCTTTCTTCTTTTCTTTGATTTTTATTGCTAGCTATGATGAATTCTATCTTAGTTTGTTTTCCCATATCCATGAGTAGCTAAATTCTTTGTCTAAGGCTTTGATGGAACCTATTGGGGGATGAACATCTTGTTTATGTGGATACAAATTGCTAGCTTCAATCTCTATTTGTTCAACTTTGTGCTTGTTGTAGTTAATTGACAGGATCCTCAATTAGCTGTGCCTATTTAGTGTGCATAACTTGGAAAAGAGTGCATATTTAGGTTATTGTTGAACAACACCACTCCCAAAGTATAAGAGGAATCTATAATTGCGGGTTTAAAGGCGGGATTAGGGATAACGAAGCCTTGGGTGTAATCTAAAGTGAATTGTGCTAAATAAAGTAAGCTAGTGTATCTCGGGAGAGTGCAATTAGTATATTACTGTGATTACTCGGGAGAGATTTACGGTAAGATGAGCGTTCATGATTGATAGAGATGTGTTGGTAAATTTGTGTGAGCATAAACAGAAGGGATTCTTTCAATAGGGGAAATCATTGCCTTAGCTTCTTCTCATCATTGTTTACAACCTTAGCATTTTAATTTTCAGCTGTTCAAGTTACTTGCAATCGTAGTTAGTAAAGCAACCTTCAACTGTGATTCAAACATCTGGAAAACTGGTTCTGAAGAGTTTAGTGGGTCTAAAGATAGTGATTGATAGGTTAACTCTCTGTGGATTCGAATCTGGGCGTAATACTCGGGTTATATTTGCAACGTCCGCAGAGTCCTTTTTAAAGGGCATAGTTGGGCGTGATCATTGTTCACTGTGTAGCTTCAGATCTGAAGGGAACAAGACCTTCAAAATCTGAATAACCATATTATACCTTCACTCAATTAACACCACCGAAAAAATTTCTTCGAAAATTATTATCTCCTTCAGATCAAAAGAACCTGTGGGGTTTGTGATAGTAAAATTAGCAGGAATTCATGAGTTTTATCAAGTTAAATTGCTGATGAAAATGGAAAAGGCATCAGCAATGGAGGAACTCGTATGGGAGAAAGAAAAAGGAAAAAAAAAGAGAAGAAAAGAAAAAAGAAGAAAGAAAAGAGAAAGGTAAAGAAAAAAAATACTAATAAAAAGGAAATAGTGTTTGTAATGCATTTTAGTACAATTAACGAAAGAGCTAATTAGTTTGGGTGGGTTCCGTTTCAAAAAGGGCATATATGGACCAACTATGTGACGGTAAAGACATATATGGGCTAAAGTATTAACGAAGGATAAATATGCTCAATTAAATTTCTCTAAGTATTGTAAAATTTTGACGCTGGAATTAAAATTTTCTAAGTGCTGGAAATTGCATAATAATTTAATATTTATAGGGAATGCAAACAAAAATAAAAAAACTATCCCACCTTTTAATGAAAGATGCATCTAGAGTTGTCAAAAAGGGCTAGCCCAGCCCAAGCCTCGTGGGCTTTTAAATTTGGTGGGCTAGGGCGAGCCGACCCTCCATTTATATGGGCCTTAAAATGGCCAGCCCAGCCGAGCCCTAAGAGGGTCGCGGGTTAGGGCGGGCCGACCCTTCAATTTTTTTAGGAAAAAATATTTCTCCAAATCTTAGATATTTTTTTGTGATATAATCTCTTGATCATATGAACAACTTCTGTTTATTTAGAGTGTACAAGAATCTTGATATTTGACAAGGAATCTCGTAATTAAATGTAAATTTTCTATATCTCTAGCTCTTCTTTTTTTAATGTTACATGAATATTTTTTAGTACTTTTCTTACACTTTTCTTAGGTTCAGGAATTGCTTCAATAAGTTTATATGTTAAGGTTTTTTAATTTAGGCTTAACATTATTTGTCGATTTCGTCATTATAGTCCATGAAATTTTCAAAATTCATGAAATTTGCTAGTATTGTCAAATTGTTTTGGGTATTAAAACTTGACCTTTTTCTATACTGAAGAGCAATTTAATAATTAATAATATATTAAAATAACCAAACTGATCATTGGCGACTTAAAATATTATTTTCTTTTGAAAAAAAATATTATTGGCCGCTTAAAAGTTTCCTAGTTCGTTGTTAATTAAGCAAAAGAAAAAATAATCTTGGCATACTACATGCATATCAAAAATATAAATTCTAGTTGATATGGAAGGATAAATAAGCAATCTAAGGTTAGAAAATGGAGATTATAGTTAATATTTTTTTTAGTTTTTACTTTTTTAAAGATTTAAATTTGAATATAATTAATTTTTGGCCCACGAGCCGGCCCAGGCCCAGCCTCGGTCAAGCCTCAAGGGCCAGCAGGCTGACCTGGGCCGGGCTTATAAGCCTCAGTTTTAAATGGGCTAAAAAAATCCCAACCCAACCCTACCCAAGTAGCGGGCTGGGTTGGGCTGGCCTCACGGGCCAAGCCTATTTTGACGGCTCTAGAGGTGTTTATCGGCGAGCTGGGACGGGTTGAACAAAAAAAAAAAAAATAAGCCCGTCCGTTATCGGACCGGGTTGGTTAGCGGGCTGGGATAATGGGTTGGAAATTTTCGGGTTATTGTGGGCCTGTTCGGGTTCGGGCTTAACGGGTCCGGACGAGCCGGGCTAGTGTAACGGGCTGCAGCCCGTTAACAACCCGTTAACGGGTTAACGGGCTTAGCGGGTACGGTGCATCGTTATCCAAAATATGTTCGTCCAAAACCTGCCCCCCGACCAACCCGTCCCAGCCCGCACATTAAGCTACAGTAACGGGCTGAACCGGGCTGACCCGAGTTGAAGCGGGTTGAAAACAGGTCAGCCCAGCCCGATTAACACCTATAGACAGCTCTAGATGCATCCCTTAGAAATAGATGACATCTTTTCCAATATTATTCAGTATTTTATTTAATTATTAATGTTATTAGATACTTATAAAACTACCTTACTAAAAAGGTATTTAGTCTTTCAACTTCCTAATTTAGAGCTTCCCACTTTTAAATTAGTATAGATAGATATAAATATAGATCAGTGTATGTACTACAATGCAACAAAAAGAGAATAGAAAGTACCCCATATATATTACAATGAAACATTGAACAAACAGACTAGTACAGCAAAAGCTCAGGGCAAGTCTACATCTGAAATCCAAAATAGAAAACTCAAATCCTACTCTTGATAAAATTCTGATCCTACACTTCATAAAATACATGTCTAACTCCCCACCAATGACTAAGATTTTACAACATGCTATCTGCCCTGGTTGGCAGCCTCTTCAAGAAACAAACAGCACTAGATGGCAACCTGTTCCTGAACTTAGGTGGTCTCAAATAATACAAACCCCAAAGAGCCACCACCCATTTGATTGGCACCAAATAGAACCCAAATGCAGCAAAGAAGCAAAATATTACAAACAAGAATGTTGCTCTTGGATCCCTCCAGCTTAACAATGCCTGAAATCTCTCCCCTTGGGTTGCCATATCTCCAACCACAGTTTGAATCCTTCCGGCCACGCTTCTCAGCCTATCATATCTCATTCGAACGATTTCAGCACTTCTACTTGCCGGGAATGAATCAAATTCCTCGTCTAGTTCATCAGGATAAACGCTTTCTGCATACGAGAGTCGAGTATCCATGTGGGGAGGGTGGCGTGGGCGGGACCTATAACGCCATAGTCCTACTGCAGCCAAGGTGAATAGTACACAAGGGATAATGAGCTCGGGCACCAATACGAGAATGATAAACGCAATCAGCACTAACGCTGAGTACACTGGCTTATGCCAATTGCGCGCGGACTCAAGCAACCTGCTCATAGTAACAAACCAAGAAACCACATTTGTCAGCCTAAAGAAATTTGCTTTGCTCTTTCTCATGCTCCACATGTGAGAATCATGATCAAGCATGTACTCCACCACTTCTCTCCCCAAAGGCGGCTCAGATCGACTAAGCCTAGCTGCCACCACATTCATAGCCTGGTGCCTCAAGGTGTCTAACTGATTTACAGACAAAGGCTGAATGTAATGCATCTTCGGAAGCAATGGCATCGTGTACATATGAAGCATATTTAACATATTAGCACAAGAAAACCGAACAGCCAAATGAAGCTCCCCCATCTTTTTCACCCCAGAAGGATGCAGCATCAAGAGTGGATATGAATGAGTATAAACTTTATCTGATTCAAGAGTTGATAGCCTGATCCTAACCTTCCCAATTCGAGAGTCCCGGTTTCCAGCCATAGAGTTAGCCATATTCTTGTCTACACGAGAATTATCAAACACCCCAATAGTGATAACAGTGCAAGGGTCAAAGACTTCCCAAGTATATTGCTCATTCCATTTAGGAGACAAGCTGTCCACCACGGTCCTAGTTCGGACCCATTTCTGCCCATACTTTGCCACACAGTACGCATCTGTAGAGCCACCCTTGCCTTCTTTCATTTTCATTGGCACGAGATTGGTGGAACCCAAAACCCCAACCTCAAGAACTCCAATGTGGGGCTTCCAGAGCTGCTTTGCTGTTGGCCTAACATCACTGCTATACATTGTGGCCTCGTCGAGCACATGGTAACCTCCATCAAGTGAGGCTCGGAGGTGAATCCGCGAGGCAAATCTAACCACAGCTTTGGGATCATTCGGGTTGCCCAAATGGGTATCAAGATTGAACCACCTCGAAGTCACTGGCTTCTCGTTTAGTCGTCTTTCTAGGCTTGAAACAGGCAAAAGAACTCTCCCCACGATTTCCTCTCTGTTGGGAGCAATTCTATCCTCAATAGATACAAGCAAGAAGTCTTCAAATGGCTCTGCAACCACAAACATTAAGTCCTCGTTCCAAAAAGGATTTGAAAGGCTTCTAGTAGCAGCAGGCGGAGAAACTCTAGTCCTCAAAACCTGGTTCCCAACTTGAACTTTGGCGAAAAGCTCAGGGTATCTCATCAATGATGACCCTTTTTCCCCCATAACAATATCTTGAGCTTCAATGATCCCAACTCGTAAATACCAAAGCTTAGGTGACAGATACACTTTGGACTTGATAGAACACAAACCATCAAAATGCACATTTGCTGCTTTAGAATGCCAAGCCTCAGCAAAGGCTTCATCAGCTTGAGTTCCAAACCAAATGGCAACCATAACTTCACCACCTTTAGACTTATCGCCTTTCTTGTCTTCCATTCTGTACCACTGTGGAGCCAACTGACTATCCGGCGGAGCTCGTTTAGGGACCTCATTGAGATCAAACCAAACACGGCCCAAGTACTCGTCTTTATTATTTTCCTTCACAAAAACTTCCACCACAGACGACTGAACACAATCTTTTGAAAAGGCAAAAACTTGGTCCCATTCAGCATGATTTGAGGAGACCCTTTTAGTAATCCCTCTGTAGTTTCCAAGTTTCACCTCAGATACAAGCTCACCACCACCAAAAACAGAAAAATCCTTAGCCTTTACAACTCTAACATACAAATACTGCATTTGTTCCACCAGGTCATATGTTGAACTAGTCTTGTCCTTATTCAAACCACCACCAAGATGTGGACTTGTTTCTTTGAGAGAAAACTCACCTTGCCCAGAAGTGTACAAACCAACCCCACCACCACCATGACCACCGCCGCCACCGGTGACATGGCCACCGGACATGGCAGGGATAATGGGGCCAGGGACAGTAGTAATAACAACAGGCTTAATGTCACCAGGGACTGGCTCCACTGGCTTTGAATGGTTCTGGTTTTGAAAATTTACCTGTTAAGACATAACATATTTAAATAAAAGTTGATACATAACATCATTAAAATATTAAAAATGTGTTCTTTCTAATATATTAAGCTTTTAGATGAGATTTCATGCAAAATCAACATTGTACCAGGACAGGCAAGAGGTTCTGGGTTGAAATCTCACCCAATAAACAAAAAAAGCAACCAAAAATATGTTTAGTCCAATGAAAGAAAATCAAGCCTATACATAAGGGGGGTATTTAAGTAAATAAAGTGTATGCATAACATCATTAAATAAATAAAAATATTTTTTTTTTTTCTATTAAGCTTTTAGATGAGATTGTCACGCAAATTCCAAAATTAAATTAGGATGTCCAAATGGTTTTAGGTTCAAATCTCACCCCCAATACCCAGAAAATGCAACAAAAGAAAAAGGTATTTTTATATATTTGGTCCATAAAAGAAAATCAAGCCTACACATAAGAGAGTAATTAAGTAAATGAAAAAATATCATTTTCCTACTAATAGCTTAAAAGCAGAAGAAATGATCAGAAAAAACAAATATTACCTTATTTTCTTGACCCATTTGGAGCACCATGTTAGTAGCATTTGTTTGTTGCTGCAATTTCTTGTTCTTCTTAGATGAGGAATTAACATTTTGGGAAACCATACCACCATTACCACTAATAACTTGTTTCACTTCTTCTGTTGTAGACAAATAAAGTTTCAAACTTAACTCACCACGTACATGAGAAAAAAGACTTCTTTTATCAAGAGTATAAAGCTGTGCCATTTCTTCTCCTTCTCTAGCAATGCTGGAACCCGAAATTCGAACCCGACCCAGAAAATTTCTACTTGTATTTGACCTTTTCTCGTTAAAAACATTTACTTCAATAGTCCGGTAAGGAAGGTCAGCCACGTCACTAACATGAAACACAAGCTTTTCGTTCCAAACAGGGTTTAAATCTCTCATTTTAACTTGAGTTTTTTGTCTTTGGTTCTCAAACTCAACTTCTACAAATGATGATGATGAACCTTCACCATCTTTTGGCATTAAGTTATGTGCTGCTACCACTTCTACTACCAACTTTTCTTTACCGTTGTTCATGGCTAAACTTTTTCAAGAAATGGAATGAAAAACAGAGAGGGTGGGGGTAGTGAAGAAATGAAACTTGAGGGGGTTAAATTATTTGTTTAATAAATACTGAGCAAGAAATACAAATACAGAAGAAAAGAGAGACAGAGAAGGAATGAGATTTTACAACAGTGAAAAGTACAGAATAGAAAGGATTTGAGTTGTAACTAGACAAGAGAGAAGGGGTGTGGGGGGAGTTTGGGGGGGGGGGGGGGTGGAGTGTTTAGATTACAGAGAAAGGGACATGGATTTAGTTGCCTTAAATGCATAAAGATGCCTTCTTTGTTATTGGTTCCTTATGGCGGAGCATCAATAACACTTCTTTTTTCAGTCAAAATATTTAAAATTTTGCTATTCTTTTTCCTTCTAAAATGTTAATATGATTTTGACTATCCTAATTAGAAGGATCAGACTTTACAACGTCTATAATGAAAAATGATGAAATTACCAAAGTCCTAGTGTCATTGCTAAACCAGAACCAGAACCAGAACCATTTCCATATTTTGTGGAATTTGGCAGTGTAGATGTTGGGAAAATATTTAGTGGGCGTTTGGACATAAGAATCGTAAAATTCCAAAAAAAAAAGTAAAAAAAATTTTCAAGTGAAAATGGTATTTGAAAATTAGAGTTGTGTTTGGATATGGATATAATTTGGGTTGTTTTTGAAGTTTTGTGAGTGATCTGAGTGAAAATTTTGAAAAACAGTTTTTGGAGTTTTTCAAATTTTTGAAAAAATTCCAAAATGCATCTTCAAGTCAAAATTGAAAATTTTATAAACAAACTATTATGAAATAATAAAACAAGAAGAATAGTATTGCAGAGAAAAGTAGGGAGGGGGAATTCTTATTGATTTGGGATGAATTACAATGGAATAGAACCCTCTATGTATAGGGAGAGGGTGACTTAGCCACCAAGCAATGAACCCTAGAATCTCTCTAAATATAGACATTCACCATAAATATAATTCTATTTATAACACTCCCCCTTGAATGTCTATTCAACAGATAATGTGCCTCGTTAAAACCTTAACTAAAATAAAACCCAGTGGGAAAGAAATTCTAGAAAAGGAAAAAGAGTACACATATCTAACAATACGCCTTTTGGTTGCCTCGTTAAAAACCTTGCAAGGAAAATCCAGTGGGACAAAACCTTGTTAGGAAAAAAGAGTGCAACGCGCATTAACTCCCCCTGATGAGAGCATCAATTCACATCCTTGAACCTTCGCATCCCGATCTTGTACACTAGCTTCTTGAAGGTTGACGTTGGTAGAGATTTTGTGAACAAATCAGCCATATTATCACTTGAACGAATTTGTTTCACCTTGAAATCATCATCCCTGATAGATGTGTTGTCTTCATATGATCTTGTTGGAATCATCATTTCAATATCTTCACATAGGGGTGAAAACTCTTGCTATCATATTATCGTGCTTATAGCTATAGCAAGATACATATGTGCACAAATTGCATTTAGGATATAGTACTTCATGACCATGAATTCTATATGTTTTAAGCAATTTAAATCCGTCAAGGATTTTTAAGTCATATAAGCCATATAATAGACTTTAGATGCATATCAAGTTTTCATGTCATGCCAGACATATAATATATCAAAAACTGATTGCACATACCATTGACTTTATACTTTCAAGTGCTTGAACTATATGTTCAAAACTGCATGTCTTTCATATGAAACCAATTCTATTCGAATTGTTTCTTCAGACTTAAGATCCTCATATATATATTTAGCGCTATCATAGATGTCGTCGACAAACATTTTATATCGGTTCCAACCTCCTTATTTTTCATAAAGACATGACATAGAGATCTCTTCATTCATATTTTCAGGTACCTGAATCTCTCCTGAGATTTTATGAAGTGTTATGTCATGTGATCTTCTAGATCACTTGCCTCCTTATTATGATCATTTTGATCATTTGCTCATCTTCTATATTAAGAAGTTTATTTGAAACCGATTTGTCTATATGCTTTAAGCGTACCATAGACGTTGTCCTTCTAGGACTTAATAAAAGCATTTGCAATGAGAATATAGTTACTTTCTTTGGGCCAGCAAATGCGTCTGGCATGCTTTGCAATAAATTGCACATGAATTATCCTTTTATGAACTTCAAGTTCATATTATTTTATTCAAGGATCTAGATGTACAAATGATAATTCATTCCACGTAACTTTTTCTCAACTGTTTATCATGTCTCCCCCTCATGTTAGAAAAACTAACTTGTTTCCTCAACTTTGAGAACCCATCTTTGTGCGTTATGATGTTAGTCAAAATATACACCGCACATCAATTATAATAAGATGGAATTATTTGGTTCCTGACCCTAAACCACTTGTGAGGGGAGAATGTAATATAATTTCGTATATAACCTATATCAAACTGATATAGATAACTTTGTTCTCATAAGCACTTGTTTAGCTATTAAGTAGAGGCACTTAATAAATTATTTTGCTAAACCAACTGTGATATAAACCAACTTATCAAGATGAACTTCTTGAATAGCAAATCTGGAAATTATGCTCGAAATTAAATTAGTGAGCAAGTTACCTCGCAAACACCGGCCAGGTTGCGGGTTAATAATAATCGCACATGTAACCATCTCATAGATGCATCTTATGTGGTATACATGGTAGGTGAATGGGCCCATATTCACCTTTGATATTTCCAGCATTCATGGGATTCAATCCCAATTTTAATTGGTCTATTAATTAATGAGAACAAGCAATGTAAGAGAATTCGTAAAGAACTTTCTAGTTCTTTAATATTTACCCATGTGAATTCTCTTTTATTTTTGCACATCATACTTGAATTAACATGGCTAAACCAATTATGCCAACTGGATAAATTATCAATATTGATGAACTTCAGGTTTACACCATGATGTGTGCAATTATGAATAAACTCCAAGTTTATTATGACATGGGTTTTTATATCAATAAATATCCACTTCATTGTGGTATTCTTTTGTTTATGTAGTACAAATTGGAGAATAAAGCGGGTAGCTTTTCACATACATATTACCCCGCTACAAGTTGTAGTAATAGAAGATGTTAAATCTTTCCTTTATTTATAGTCTCAATATAATCAACCGCTTTCGCGTATACTTTGGAAACTGAATAAGTTTCTTTGAGACTTACTACAACACAATACCTTATTGGTAATTAATTGTGTTTCTCCAAAATAGTATAATTGGCTCTTGCAGAGTTCTCAATTAATTTTGTAGTACCACATATTCATCAACACCTATATGGTGAATATCTCTTTTAAAGAGAAATTTATACCATTATGGTTATGGTCAAAATTATATGCAAGATTTGTTTCTTGCATTACCCTTGTCTTTTAAATATCATAATGCCAAAATATTTTGGCGTACAATAGGTACGTGACCAATGACCATTCATGCCATAATAATGACATTATTTTCTTATATCATCTTAAACCTCCTTCTAGAGGTGAGTGTGGTATATTCACTACCACTAGCACGTTCATATTCTTTCAAGAATGAATATGTATTCATAAATAAGATGTTGTCACATTCACATCATGAATGGACCGTAATCATCTATATGTGCTTTATAAAATCTCATGTCAAATCGATGACAAATATTACTTTCACAAAGTGAAGGATTATTTTGAGAATCCTTATTATTCTCATTATCACAATGATGACGATAATAATTTCGTCTATTGCCACGTCCACATCCATTGATACCTTCACGGTAATAATTTTGTCTTCTTTCAGACTTATCACATATTGCTATCACATTCTCTTAAGGGAATGAGAATGGAGCAAATTCAATGGGACGGATTTTCACTTCTTGTGCTCACGATCATACATGACTTTGATAATGGCAAGACATAGAAATTTTACCACTTCAGGTGGTTATAATTTCTTACAAACTCCATTAGAGTTATTATCAAACTTTGTTGTCTTTGCTTGTATTTAAAATCAAAGTATAGAATAAAACAGAAAAATACGGTAAAATACTTACCTTAAATCCAGAATTTAATCATGAAGGAAGTTCATGGAATAATTGACAATCATTATGCTCAATCCCAAAGCTTTTACTCAATTGGTTAGAGTCTTGTGCTGATAACGTGTTATGAAATAATAAAACAAGAAGAATAGTATTGCAGAGAAAAGTAGGGAGGGAGAATTCTTATTGACTTGGGATGAATTACAATGGAATAGAACCCTCTATGTATAGGGAGAGGGTGACTTAGCCACCAAGCAATGAACCCTAGAATCTCTCTAAATATAGACATTCACCATAAATATAATTCTATTTATAACACAAACACTGATTTCGAAAAAAAATTGAAATTGTTCAAAAAAAGAAAAAAAATTCTTATGTCCAAACTAGCTCTTAATCTTATTTGGAAAATACATGAATTGAAAGACAAAATTAAACACTATCAAGCATAGTATAAATCTTTTAAATTAGGTATATTAGTATATTTAATTAATTATAACATATAAGTTTTGCATCATAGTGATTAAAGGTACATTTTTCATTCTTCCACATTTTCTTTCTCTCAAGTGGGTTTAAAGACATAATAAATGGGGTGATTTGGTACCGGTAGAATCAGAAATTTTGAAGTTTATAAGTTCGAAATTTTAATGATTTTAGATTATTGAGTCTTAAATTAATAATTTATATATATATATATTTAATGTATTTCTAAAAGACAAATATAAGGTTTAAATTGAAGTTTCTGAATCCTCCTAGCTTGTATTCAACTTGTTATCTCCGCCCCTAATTATTGCGATGAAATAGACTAGGATATTTCATGAATTGGAATATTTCGCGGGGATTAGTTATCCCACCTTTTATATAAAATAGCTAATCTCACAATGGTAGTACATAAAATGGCTCCTGAGACTAATTAATACACATAATCAAATGCGAATAAAATATTTCTCTATTTATTCCGAAATTATTATCCCTGTTTTATAAACCAAACAACTCCCATAAGATTTTACGTAATATATACTGACAGTCCAAAATAATTAAGTTATTAACGAAAATTTAACAAAAAAATTACTATACAAAGTCAATACACATGACTTAAAATCTCTTTAAATTATTTGTTTACAAAGATACCCTCCACATTCTTTGGAAAGGATTTGAAAAAATAGTTATGTCTTTATAAATATTAAAAATTATGA